TCTTTTTTACTTGCAATCGCAATACCCTCTTTCTACTTCGCGAGGTTTTCTGGGTCGCGTGCAATTTTGTCCCCGCGACACGAAGAAAAAGCAGGTGCAGCAATCTGCGCGATGGCGCGATTCAATTCCGCTCGTATAATCGCTTCTTGCGACCGCAACGTGTGCAATTCATGTTATCCAACTCGTTTCTTCATTGTTCTCACGTTGAATTAAAAGACTTTTCGATGTCCATTAATATTTTCAGTATCTCGAAATTTCAATATTATTAAGATCACGCTAATTCACCTTATTTACCGAATAAGCCTGTTACCAACGCGTCATCGTGTTCCCCGTAATGCAGCAGGCAAGCAATCCAATTTTCTCCCGGCTGTAAAATAATACATCATAATCCAAATGTCTCTGCAACCCCTCCTGTTTGCATACCAACGCTCTCCCAAAGAATAATCGAATCAGCGCCTCCCAAACAGCATCAAAACTCCATCAGCCTCGAAACCGAAGTAGTCCTTCGTCAGGCAACACCGCGCCTCCCTCCGAGCTCACCCTTTTCATACCCCGTCGACGACCACCCTCGAAACCGACGTAGTCTTCAACTTCGAACGTTCCTTTTTATTTTCCAAATCGCGGCTTTAATTATAAACGCTAAATGTTAACGCGAACCCCATCGATTTAGTAGAATTAGTAAACGACGTTGATATTAGTAGATCAGAAGAAACAGAAACGGGTTGGCGCAATCAGACGGCCTGTGCTCGCGGCTTCAGAACGACGTGATTAATTAATCGCAAATGTCGTATCGAAATTTCCGAAATTACAGGATGCAGTTTGCGTTCCGGCGCGGAACAGCTGGAGTTAGGAGGCGGCGTCGATCAACAGGGAGGAAACTTGAAGGGTTTCGAGGCTGGTCGAAGTAAGCAGTCAGCGTTGGGTACAGAATCAAGCCGGCCTCTTAAATATTAACAGTGTACTCAACGCGGATACATTAGTAACGCGGGAACGAGTTGTACACGTATGCACACGGAGTCTGGAAACGTAGGGAAGGGTATCGGGTTTTACCTAACGTCTAGACGACATTTGAGAGAAGAGGCGGCTGGTTTAGGTCTACGAAACGCCTTGTGACGGTGCCAGGTAACAAGAAACGTCAAAGGAATTCTTGGCAACGGCTTAGAAGCCACTTTGTGCCCTATCGGAAACGTATACCGTGCAAATCGACAAATAACGCGAAGGGTAATCGTGGCTATCGATCTGTTTGCATGCCCCTTTGCGAATCGCGATACCGTGGAATCAGAGTCTTGTCTCGATTTACCTCCTCGTTCCTCGAAATGTCAACCATCCACGACTGCAAATCCAATCGTTCTCTTTTCTATTTATATGAAAATAATTAATCTCTTCGAGTTAAATTTCGGCTGACAGAAGGAACCGATCGTACCTGGCAGTGTACCAAAAGTATCGCCAGACAGCAACCTACGAAATGCCTAGAAATTGCACGCAATCCCTGAATTATACAAGGCTTTCCATGCAACGTACACGTGAAGTTTTGTAGCTACATAATTCAGTTATCATAAGCTATGCCGGTTAACTTATTGCTACCGCCAGATGTCTAAAATTGCGGTACACGCGTGTATATTTCCCGGCTACGAAACGGGAGCGACCGCTTAATAAAACAACTGGTGCACTGCAAATAAAATCATTGTTTCCACCACGGTTCGCGTCCACGGGCTTAATTACAGATACGAATTTAAGCTTAATCAGCAAACCTCCTGGTCGTTCCTTTGCGAATATCCGTGCCGCGTCGGGACACAGGAATCCTGCGGCAGCTGTCGAGTAAACTAATAATTTCATCATACTTTTGATGTCTCTGTTTAAGAATTCCACCTGGAACGAGTTGAAACTTTTTTATATGAAACGTACAGTATCCTTAATTACATTCGAAGGATCTCTGATATTAAAGGATCACAATTAAACGTTCGTAATTATACCGTAGCCTGGATATGAGAAGCATATTAGAAAAGCGAGACGACGAAGCATGAAAAGTGTGGCGCACCGTATCATTTTACCGTAATTCCTGACGTCGCGATCAACTCCATTTACCCTAACACGTCTGCGCTCATCTTTTCCAGACGGCACCTGTTTCACGGCGTATTTGTTCCCGTGGAATATTCAACGATCGTGAAAGACGAGGCTGCAACGAGACCAACGTGTGTTCCAGGATGATCCTTGCAACGAGCACCGGGGCCAAATGAGATTAAACCAGGCTGGACTGTGTGTAACTCGAATAGACGCGTTCTCGTTCTTGCCAATAGCGTTTCACGTACACCAGGAGAGAAGTTGAAACGAAAGGTTCGAGGTTCCGTCGGATAAAGGTAGAAAGAGATTAAAATGACCGGTTGGTTTAATGAGACGACCCCGGTTGTTTCACACAGGTAACTGGTATTAATGAAATCAATACTGACACACTGGATAACGATCGAACAGGTCGGCGTGGCCGCGCGGAACTCTGGCTAAAATAATTCCTCGTTCGTTCCTCGGCCAGCCAATAAACTGCCAATTAGCGGAAATTCGTTTCCCGTGACGTTCGCGGACCGAGAAAAAATTGCCACCGCGTTTGTGTCGAATGGTAGAGAGAAGAAGGGGTTGATCGGAGAGGGGTGGATCGATGGTTTCCGCGAGGACAGGCTTGGAAGATTAACACATCGACGAGTGTGTTGCATCGTGAATTCGATGGTAAGAAGGAAAAGTGTCAAAAGAATTGCGGATGAGACAAGTTCCTCGATGCGGAATGGGGAGGATAGGAGTCGTAAGTGGAACGATAAGTTAGATCGGATACGGTGCGCGATGCAGGCGTGCAGATTATTCCGAAACATTTGCGTACAAGTTTCGAACAGCCAGTGTAAATTGCATCAGATCCCCGTTTTGCATGAACTCGCTTGAGGAATCAGTTTAACAGTGTTCCGGTAACATCGCGTACGTATCGAGGATCTAGCTTTGACGTTAACGGCTTGACCCACCTTCGCTTCTAGCTTTCGACCGATCGAAATAATTGTTGTCGCGTTAACATAAATATTATCACCTGCCATTCAAGAAAAAAGCTTCTCAATTGTACTATTTTATATTGCAAAATAAATTACATTTTGATCTAATAAAATTATTATTTTCTTAGCAAGTAATATTTCTATGTACGAAAGCGTTAATTAACGATCCTTAAATTTGTAAAAAGTATAATCAACGAGGCAAGTCGAGCGAATGATCGTGGATGGGATGTGGGGGTGGAATCTCGGCGCGGCAAAGTGGGATACAACAAACGGATAAATCGATTACGTTAATCCGAAGCTATCGAGCTGAAAGAGGGTTTATCTGTATCGATTTCGGGCCTCGACCGGTCGCGAGTATGCACACACGTATAAATAATGCCGCGCACATTAACAATCGTTAATAACATACGTGCCTCTGAAAGCCACATATGGGGAGAAGGGTAGGAGCCAGGGGACGCAAATATTAATGATCGGTCCCCAATGAACTAGGAATACATAATGCCTATTTGCATGACACCCCCGCCACGCCAAGCTTAGTTAATCATTCGCACGCTCTGATGTTTGCTGAATCGGCACTGCTTACACACGGCCTCCCACAAATCGCTTCGACCACCGTTAATAAATCGATGATCATTTAATAATTTATCGTTTAGATAAAGTATCAATTCGGATTAGAATGTTTTGACGGTTTGACATCTTTATGAGTGAACTGGATCCGTACAATTCGATAATGAATTTGTATGTGAAATAGTAAAAGTGGCATAAACCTGCACGCGTTTTTATAGAAAAATATATTTGTTCCATCTTGGACCACCTTTTTTCAAGAATTGAAATTAATTAGTAACGGGTTAATTTACCAAATCTCTTCTTAATCGAACAAATAAATACTAACGAAATAAAGGACGATATTTCAAGCATTCGCACGAAATTAACTGGTAACGATATTTTTGTTATTTCACGCAAATACGACTGCCATCTGCAACGTAGGTAAATTAATGCAGAATTAATATTTAATAAGGAATAATGTCAACAAATGCTTCCATCGTCCTCAAATGTATTCTTGTTTACCTTATTCAAATTAAAATTAAAATAAATGGTACTGAGACATTCTGTTCAACGATATTTGCCATATTTTTTTTCTATTTCACGAACACTGCGTTGATTAATCGTATTCCTTTTACAGAGAAATTAATTTAATTGTTAAATGGAAAAATATTCTCGTAATTCTCTCGTAATTTGAAATAAATAAACAAGCACACGAGCAAGTGGTGAAACGACAACAAAGTGGAATATCTACACTGAAAAGCAATTGATACGATTTCAAACAACAAATTCTGTAACTCGAATACCTGAAATCGTGAAGTGGCGTATTGCGCATAGTGTAATGGTCATCAAAATGAAAAAAAAAGTAATTTCTCGCTTTTCAATTTTCGTCACAAAGGAAACAACGATGGCCGATGTCGACGCGACGCACTGATTCGTTTCGTTTCGTCGTCGCGTTGAAAAATTCATAAACGTTTTACTTAACAATTATTTGGACAACGCGCGGACGACTGCGTCCCCAACGACCACGGTAATTGCTTTATTTATTCTGTCGGTGGAGGAGGAACGGCGTCGGCTACGTGCTCGTCCCCGTTCGTAAGTGTAGAATTTTAATTGGCCTATCGGCCGTCCAATTAATTCCGTTCCAATGTTCGGAAGGTCGACGCGTTTCCGCGATTATCGATGACCGTTCGTCTAACGCGTCTGAAAAATTATCGACCATTCTTGACATCGTGTGATCCGTGTAATTTTAACGATTCCAAAGAGCAACGAAGATATTGTAAAATTAGAAATGAAAAAATTTTGTCAAATAAAATTTCGTGGTTCTCGTTCGAAGAAAGGGGACAAGAAGCCGGCAAATGGAAGTCGAATCTCTGTTTCCATTCTGGCGGCTGGCGAATTAATTAGGAAATTCAGCGTTTCATAACTTACGATCGGACAGAACTCGAACAGTGGAAAGGGTCTTCAGCTTTCCTCGAGTGCCTATTGAACCACCACCGTGGCCAGCACTCCTCAAACACTTCAAACCCAAGAGGCAATATCTCGTAATTGAACTATCATAATGGCGTGCTCGATGGACCTGCAAAGAAACGTTTCGAAATTAAAACACTTTCAACTACGTCGCAGTTTCCGCGAAAGATTCGACGAATTTCTTAATCGAATTTTTCATTTTTTCAAATAAAACCTCTGTTAATAGAGCTTCGTTTAAAAAAAGAGGAGTCGGAATTTCTTTGACAAAAATTAAGAAATTTATTTTTGATTACCGGATTGTAAAATTTGGCAATTTCGAAAACCTGGTATTGCAAAACTCCGCATCGAACAATAGGGATTGTTTTATTTTAGGAAATCCTTTCCAACGCGATTGGCGGGTTACGTTGTGCTTTAAATTCCGTGATTTTCGGTCGCGGCATCAAAGAACCTCTCGTTAACGCTTTCCCTCGTTAATTAAATCGGGCACGGCCGATGCAGCAGGCTGCAATTGGATTTCAATCGCAGACGCGTAAGAATTATACGCAGCGGCTCCTGTCTGTCGCGAATAACAATGTGTCGTTACGATTAATTACCTGGATTCAGTTCATTACGGCGCCACCGTGTTTCGAATATGCCTTAATTAATGCAATTTACTAGTCGGAATTCGCGGCCTGCCGGCGAGAAACGGATTGAAGTGGTCGGTAGGAAAGAAGTTTCACCCAATTATGATTTAATTCAATCGTTCGTCAGTATTTCTTTCGTTTTCTCGGAAATGTGAAAAAAAAATGTATCAAAGAACGACGTTGAATTTACAATCAATTTTATTAATTGAAACGAATCGAAGAATAAATCAGTTTCATATTTTCCTATAATTGTGATAATTAAATGCTGTATAATTTATTGAAAATTTTTCATTTTCTATCGGATAATAAAAAAGGAAAATATTCAATTAAAATTGAAAAATTTAACTTCCACAATAAAGAATTAAAAACTAAATGAAGATGAATTTTGCCAATTTTACAAGCCTTATTTCAGATTGCAAATTTCTTGGAAATCTAACAATTGTTGTAAGATTCTACCCCGTTATGGAAGCAGCTGGCCGGAAACGGCGTCTATCCCCGTGGTCCTGATTGGCGCGTGTTACACCTGTGCCATCATCGTGTGCATGTGCACACGTAATATTTAACAGGCGCGTTGGTCCTCGTGTCTCCAACAATGGGGCTCGGCAAACAGCTTTTCACGCTGGTTTCCTCCAGCTCGGGACACATTAAGCGCACGCGTGTAAATTTCGTGTACACCTGATTGTTCGCGTGTTAACGGGACGTCGTATATATGTAACGGACGGGAATCGAGCGGAACGTATGTATGTAGCCGACGTGCATTCATGACAATCGCGTAGTTTCAGTTAATCGGGATTATATTTGAAGATGCAACGGTTGACGTGACGAGCGAGCAACCGGAACAACGAAAGACGTTCCACGTGTCTGCAGCGGACGTTGAATTTACGCGTTTCTTCCTATGCTCATTGTTATCCACGGAATATTTTCAATTTGAATCTGCAGAAACAAATTTATGCTGAAATTCTTCCCCGGGGATAATCAAATAATTAACGATCACAAAAGTTGGAGTATTGGTTGGATCGAGCCCGGTGTTCTATCAAGAAAGGAACCACGATCGACTTTCTTTCAAAAACTTTCTAATTCTTTTACTTGCAAAATTTTCAAAAGAGTTTTCTTCGACTTCGTAATGAGACGGCCGTCGCGGAAGCCGGGTCACTTTGACCTGGTATCCTTTGAAAAATTCAGCTCATTCCAAGAAGGTACTCGTCTTTCTTCTCGCGGACACTGTTTTTATTTCACTCGCATAATTTTCCAGCAACCGTGGATCTCCTTTATTTTACCAACCATAGATCTACTCGAAGGGCCAACGGTATCAGAAACGTTGAAATTTTCTTAATCGCATCGAACGTTACGTTGGTTGAATACAAAAATAGAATAGGGAACAGCTGTATTGCTCGTGTAAATAATGAACGAAAATGTAATTTATGTTACGTAACGAAGACCCAGTTTCGTGTTTTCAAGGGAAGATGGTAGCTAAGAGCGAGAGAGAGATAGAAGAGGAAAAACAAAAGAGAGAAAGGCAGACGAAAGGGATGCAAGTGTACGTACAGCTTCCGGAATATTTCCTATTGGAACAAAGAACCGGAATACAATTTCCTAGCAACGTCTCGGGAAATGGTATAATGACTTTGGAATCGGAAGGGGACGCGTCCCCGCGAAACTTCCCATCGTTCAAGCTTCGTTCCGGGTTTTATCATCGCGAAACAGCTTCTTCAACCTCGATAATTGTCTCTGCAATTACAAGCTTTAGAAGCCTCGTAATTCTGGTCTCGGTTACTGAAAACGTCGCGACAGCAGACCATTGGCGTAACTGGTACCTTTGTTTCAGATAAATCAGCTCTTTAATTTAATTAGAAGCATTAAATGACAAATTACTTTTTATTCGTTCCCATCATACGGGACGGTACTTACAGAATATCTACAGGTATTCAATTTCCGTTTTCCAAAATCTCGTTTATTGTTAAATAAACATCTGTTATTTATGTTAGTAATTATTTATTCATGTGATGTTTTTAAATAATTATTACTGGGAGTAGCCAAATCTGGCTCCAGTTACGCCAATGCCGCAGACAGATAAGCTTTCTTTCTCTTCACCCTGCCGCGGTATGGATGGAAATTATGCAACGAATAATGAAATTCATCGATCGAAAGGTAATTTTACGATACTATGCCACGTTGCATCCCGTGTTGCCGGGATACGATGCGAAAATAGATATTATTTATCGGGTCTACCGTCGCTAATTGCGGCTGTATTTTATGCAGAAACCGAAGCGCATTCGAAATTACGACGAGGATCGGCTTTACGACGCGTTATTTAGCTTGCTAATCGCCCATTTAATTGTCTCTCCACGGCAGATCTTCGAATTGAGAACGAAACGAGAATAACTCTTCCGTCTTTTCAATGGTTATTGTACTTAAAATAATTCGACTTCGAGATCGTTTTGTAATTCATAATTAGATAGTCGAAAGAAAATTTGCAAGCTTCAAAATCATCAATTGCTCGAAGCTTTCAACCTTCGAGGAACTTGTATTTCTGTACGGAAGAAGTTTCCTACCTTTTTAATCGTCGTTCTTGTAAAACAATATTCGAGCAACTCTTCGTTCTCTTGAAAACAAAGTTCGAAGATAAACTTCTCTTTTAAGAACAAACAAATCGCTCTCTCGAACTTCGAAACTTCTTCACTTTCTGCGATAGAATGTAACTTTCTAATTTCATCGCTTTCAATATTGTTCCCGATGATGAAAAGGTTCAGCTTCGTTGCAAACGATCGTCGGTGAAAAACAATGAACCATGGGGTCGAGTTAAATATAAAGTAACGCGAACGAGGTGATAAACAGGAATCGTCGGGAATCACAGCGCATTTTAATGTTTAATTGGCGAACGGGCGCCGCGATTAAAAACGACCGGTCGCTGATTACCCCGAGAGGGATGGGATCTTTTCAATCGAGTTAACGAGGGAACGTGATGCGATCGCCATTGATTTTACGCGTTCCGCGTTTCTGTTTTCTCTATTAATATACTAATGAATTGTATCCATGGTAATTCGTTTCTGCTCCTCGACCATTCTTCCCCCTCCGTAAAATTCAATAAAAAAGACCCCGATACGTTGGGCAGTCATTAATAAATTATTGTCTTTTCTTAAATGATCAAAATATTCAATTGAACCAACACAAAAATTTCAGTACAAAAGATTACCGATGTTCATTGAAAAAAGAAGAGGAAAAATCAATTCTTCAACCCCCTTTGATATATCCCTCATTGACCCCGTGCGCCCCTCTTAAAATTCCATTTCTTTCATCAAACGGCATTATTGATGCGTATAAAGCGGCAATTAAAATCCGTCCATCTCTATACATTTAATTATCGCTCGATCATACATCGATATTCGCATATTTATAAAAAGCGATTCCGTTCCTTCGCGTTTGGCATCGTTGCCGCGGCTGATGGCAATTTGTACAGTTGATTTTCCAAGTCAACGAGCAATCAGGAAGCCGACACACAACTCTCGCCGCATTGTCGCGCGAAGATTGCTTTTTCATTCCATTCGCCGTTTATTTTTTTTTTTGTCTCCCCTCTTTCCCCCCGATCAACCAGAGCGGGGAATGTAAATTAATCCGGTATTGCATATGAGATGCGCGGATCTGCGAGGCCGTATTGAATTCCGTGATTGGAAACAGGTATTACTGGACGAGAGGACTGGCTAACTGGAAAGGGATGAAAGGGACAGACAGAGGCCGTGCATCCGTTCCTGGCCGTCGTTTTTCTTCCTTCTTTTTCCTCCGGTTTGTTATCGAAGGCGTTCCGTCGAGGAGCGAAAATGGCAGAGCGCTTTTAGCCTCGACCGATTTGAAAATGTATTCTTCAAGCTGGAAAATTCTTTGCCACGCTTTTCCTTTTATTCGGTGAACTCCGTCTTGTGGACATTTATTGAAAAGTAGACGAGAAAGTAGAGTGTACTTATGAATGTACGGGCTGAGAGCTTTGATCGTAATTTATGCCGATTCGTCTGCGATACTTTCGTAGAATTCTTTGTAAATGAACCACGAGAATCGCGAATAATATTCCACGATGCGCGGCAGCTCGTTCGCAACAATTAAACGGACGCCGCGTTTTCGCCTGTCATTTCCTCTTTTTTTAATACCACGCCAACGGTCCGTGTCGTTTTCTCCTTCCTTTTTTTCCCCGAGCGTGATCGCGCTTTTTATTGGAAAGCCGCAACAGATATTTTCGCTGCGTGCGAATAACAGCATATGGCCGGGCCAATTTTCCAGCAACTCGGTCGTCTGTAAATTCAGCTGATCCCGGCGAACCACTTGGACAGCAATTACATTTTTCATGAAAATTAAAATGCCGTCTCCGGGACCCGTTGCGATCCATAATAGGTTGCTTAATGGCCGCGTGAAATTTGCAACGTTGGAAAAGTGCAATTCAGGGGATTGCTGTTGTCTTTCTGGCCAAGTGTCAGCCGTGAAATTCAATCAAACGAAA